GACCATGCTGAAGAGCAGAAATAGTGCTAAGTGTTATATGGTTGATTATGCTGACATTATGCTGCCCGAAAACTGGAGCAAAAATGTGCTATTGATAAACAGTGTGCTTCTACTGCTTCATCAAAAACAGGGGAGGTTATACTCAAATAACAACCATTATGTTTGGTGCTGGAGATGGCAACTTCTCACGCTCAGAGCTACTATGATAAATGGCCTGGCATTTCATAAACTGACTGGTTTATAAATTAGCTCACTTCAATGAAGAGACATCTGAATCATTGCATTTGTGTGCATGCTAGCTTTTCTGCTTCTTTCTCATTATTTCAAATCAAATAATGAATAACAAATATCCCAACAACCTTACTGACATCCTTGCTGCATAAGAACAACAAAAATACCATTGTGGTACCAGAAAAGCTAGGTATTTTTTTGACTGCTATTACTGCGCCAGACACACTGTACTAGACTTTTAACACACACACACACACACACACACACACACACAAATGCAAGCTCATTTCACCCTTTTTTTTTGTTGTTCTTTTGTTTTTAATTGCTGTTGTAGATGACTGCATATTACAGACAACTCTACCCCCTGAGCAAAAAAGCAAAACTATTTTCTTTGTTATCACTTGCATTTTGCTTCTGCTTGTCATCGGAGCCATTGTATTCATCTGGAGAAAGGCACAAACAAAAACCCAGCCTGCCAATAAAGGACGGTATGAGAAACTGACAAATCACTCCAAAACCTCTCCTTCCTCTGTGAGCAACTACCACAAGAATCCCAGCTACCATGAGGATCAAGTGATTGAATACAGAGATAGAGATTATGAAGATGATGATGATGAAGATGACATTGTATACATGGGCAAGGATGGCACAATTTATCATAAATTTAAATATGGACTTTTGGAGGATGATGAGGAAGATGAGCTAGAATATGATGATGAAAGTTACTCATTTAGATAACTTTTTACTAGTTCACTAACAGTAAATTAGTCCTATAAATTCCTATGAAATTATAGCTATTTAGTCAATATGTTTAGTTACTTGACTCACCTCCAATTATTTGCTATTAATTATTGTGAAAGAAGAATATTTCTAGAAATATTTCTAGAAATTCTTTTCTTCTAAACAAATATTTTATAGGCTTTTAAGTAGCACTCCGGATATAATCTGGTTAAGAGACCAAGTTTCTACGCATTTGTGTGGAGAATAATCTTTTCCCAATATGTATTTGTGTAACTAACACAAACTTTTCTTCAGACCTTTTTGGAGAACCCTGCCAATCACTACTAGAAATGTGGTAAGCAAGATGGGTGCATCTACTTGATGAATGCCACAGGGAGAGGGTGCCAGCAGCTCACTAATTTGTGATTAGAGTTACTTGACAATCCATAATAGAATAGGCAACTTGAAGGAATTTAGTTAGATTTTCTTCATAATCACCTGGTGTTCTCTAAAGCAAAAATGTTGCACTTCATAATCTTTACAGTGTATTTCCTTTGAATTTGTGTATCCATGACATGATATTTTAAGATTTAGGATTCTAACTACTTCTCATAACTATATCTTAATCACAGTTTGTACTAAATAGAACAAAAATATTTTATATATCAGCCTCTGAACAATCTTTACTGCAGTGTTTGTCAAAAAATCTTGCATTTTACAGATTAATTTCTCGGTATACAACTAAGGGCAATATTGTCTACAAGCATGTAGACAATATGGCCCTTTGCATGGCACAAACACACATCAATCCTGCACCATGAGCAGGTGGTGATTATATTGTAAATGGCTCAGGATGCTCCGACAATGGCAAAGGGGATATTTGCACTTTTCTGGTAATTTTTATTACTATTACACAAATAAAAATTTTTAATTCTACAGAAAAAGTATGGCCGTTTGTTGTGAAGAATAAATTTTTTAACCATCTTATATATGCTGTTATTCACTACATTTCATTAAATCTCAGAGTTTCTCTAGGTTTCCAGTAAGGATCTACTCTAAAAACAATAATGGTGCATATATATATATATATATATATATTTTTTTTTTTTTTTTTTTTTTTACTGTTACAAGGAATTGTGTAATTGTGTAAAAATAGCAGCTTTTCATGGCTCAATGCCTCAGTGGAATTTTCAGTATTACATAAGCCTAAAGACCTCAGGATAGTTCCATCTGTAAGATTAAAGATGTTTTATGGAGAGATTTATTGCTTCCAATTTTAATTTTACCTTCTAGTCATCGCACCTGCAGTCAGAAAGAGGAATTAAAGGCAACATGACTTCACAAAAGCTGAAACAAGTACCAATGTTTGGTGTGCTTTGACACACTTCCTCACATTTCAAATGCTTATTCCTAGCCTAAGCAATCTGAAACCAGAATGATAATGTCCATTTTGTTTATGGGCTCACAGGTTATGAGATTATATTATCATGAAATGGCCAGATGACCCTGGCAGGGGCAACAAATTATTGGAACCATGGTGTCATAGTCAGGACTGGTTACTCAGCCCTTTTGCCCGGGTTTCCTGGGGGCAATGCAGCCCATCTGACAAAAGCAGGGAAAATGCATCATTGGTCAGAGACTTGCCAGACTCCTGAAGAGGGCTTTAAATTAGATTTGCTGAGGAAGGGTGTCTTCCCATCCATCCCAATCCAGCCAGTCAAATATCAACACCTAAAATGGATGCCAGAACAGCATCAACATCTTCTGTAAAAGAGATTTTTGAATATTTTTGAAAGTGTTAAGTTTGAAAATAGTACTCAAAGAGACACAAATTTAGGAACTTGTATCCCTTTACACTTTACAACTAGGAATCCCTGATAAGAGTCTACAAGGAGACCAAGCAAGCAAAAGCACAATGAAATAATTCTAGTCTTGCCTCTAAAGAAACTTTGTGGAAAACTGGTAGAACCAAGGAAGGCTGTAAAAAAAAAAAAAAGGTACAAAGAACACAACAATCTAAGTTCCTTACACTTTTTCCTGAAATAAAGGCATCCAATTATTTTTTAATCTTTTCTAGTCCTTGTTACCATTCATCACCATTTCCCAGCTCTGGCTCCCATTGTCACAGACATTTATAATAAGTTCTAGTCTCCTGGAAAACAAAAATATTTCTAATTATTCCTCAAGACTAACAGATACTAAAACTTTTCTAAATCCCACACTAGCAAGTACAGCCTTCTGTTTAAATAATTTCTCTTTCATCTTTCTACTTTATGTTTTTGGAGGATACATATTCCATATTACAATCAGACTGCAAGCCATGTGACACAGCAGAAGAATGATTTTATGTGGTCTCTCAAACAATAACAAGCTCTGCTCTGTGAGCTGGCCCATTCCTGGAGTTTTCTAGATTTTCAAGAAACCTGTCCCCATGCACTGGACGTCTCTGGACACTCTGTGGCACAAGATGTGGTTCCAAGGCCTTTTCCCTATTTGTTCCTTCATTTCAGAGAGCATCACAAATGGCACTTTTCTATACCTAACATTAATGAGTCTTAAAGCTCATCTCTTCAAGGAAAGCACTGTTCACAGAACTGACAAAATACAATTTCCCCCACATTTTAAACATTCAATCATTAAAAAGCACAAAACACATTCAGTTCACCAAATCTTATTTTACTCCATTTTGGACAATGTGCTGCATTCTGTCCAGGCCTCTGGAAAGTGAGAAAATCTCTTTATTCTTTTTTCTCTTCAGCAAATTTTCACATGGATATAAATACTTCCTCTACTTATGCAGACCATTCATTTTGTTTAAGTAATTTCAACCACACCTGAACTAATTTTACTAAGAATTATAATGGCATGTGCTACATGGTTTCAAGATTTTTTAACTCTTTGTGGGAAGTTGCTCATGAAATGAGTGTGGGGCCATCAGAAAACACGTCTCATTTTTATGTTTATTTTTATTGGCTTACTGCTATTACTGAGCATTAATAACAGATTCCAGAAAATATTTTATGTATTAAGTATACATTCTTAACTGGTACTATAGCAGCAATGATGGTGACAAATAATTAGCAAGCCTAGCTGCTCTAATTACATATTCCCGTAAATGAAAGAGTTGTTACCTAAATCTTACCTTTTTCCAAAACTACTTTTTTTTTGGTCAGGTCACTGGAAAAATGGGAAACAGTAATTTTCTTCCTGCAAGCTTCAATTGTGTCTCCTCTGTGTACATTTTAGGTTTCAATTCTCCACTCACTGATGTGCATTAAAGCATTTATTTGCAGAATCTAACTATATTCAAGCAATTTTTATTTTATCTTATGCAAATCACCCTATCATTTTTCAGAGAACTGCTCTACTCATAGGTTTGGCAAGAAGGGCTCTTTTGGGGTTTTTTTTGGGGTTTTTTTTGGTTTGTTTTTTTTGTTTTGTTTTGTTTTGTTTTGTTTTGTTTTTTAATTTATGATGATGACTAGAGAGAAGCAAGAGATCAGCAGGCAGACCTTGAAAATGTGGGGAATCAATCACATGTAATACAGGAATGCTGATATAGTTAAGTACTTGAATAAACTAAATCTATGTTCAGACGCGTACTGGTTATCCACTTTTTGATGAATGTCTATTCAATTTAGACTTAAAATACATATAGGGAATTTCACTGTAACTGGTACTTTACTAAATTTTGCAATCCTTGTTTTTCCTTATAAATTGAAGTTCCTATTGAGTTTGAATGCTTAAAATCTGTACTTTTGCAATCAGGTAAATATTACATACACACAACTAGCATTTTCACACTATCCTTTCTATATACACTTACTTACAGAATAATAACATCTAAAACTCTAGTTTTGTTGTGCTGGCTAGTTATATAAAATACTCCTGGCTTTCTGACACAAAGCAGTAACAGTTCAGTTATCTTTACTTTCAATAGGGTACATATGAAAATAATTCTAACATTTGAAATACAGCATAATATTACAAATGCATAATGTTTTTATTTTCTCATTCAAATGAAATCCAGGTTGTCTGTATCTACTTACCAAGCCACTTTTCAATTGCATTCTCATACTTTTTTTGGTCCTTTAACCAGTCTTGATGCCATCTAAGGTTTGCAATAACACTTGAGTAATTGTGACCCAAACTTTGTTTCCAACTGATAAACTGTTGTTTGTTATACTCCTGAACAGAAGAAGAAACCTTTGGATAGTTTACTATAGAGCGAAGTATTTTGTCCAAAGAATGTACAGTTACTGGGAATTTTATGGCAAGATTTGTAAGCTCATCTGGATCAGCAGTAAGGTCTGTAACATAAAAAAAGGTCAGTTAAGATTCAATTTGCACCAAAGTAAATTAACGAGTCAGTAATGACATAAAAGTAGCATACCAAAGAGTTGGGGCAGTACTGAAGAGCCATCTGAGTATGTGATGTATTTCCACTTGCCAATTCTCAGCATATACACAGAGGAATTCACATTGCATCCATGGAACTCACTCAGCACCCATGAGGGCCGAGGTCCTGTGGGTGACACTTTGTTCTCAGCCTTTTCACGTAGCAGCGGTATAAGAGAATATCCACTGAGGTTCTGAGGGACAGGAATTCTTGCTATATCTAAGGAAATATACATAAAATCAAAATGTTATTGCAGTTTTGATGACTAAAAAAGTCTAACACAATGTCTGAATGTTGACAATAAAATGTGCTCTCCTAATTATTATCCCAAAATACACAATAAAAAATACCTTAAGGAATTTCCCAAGGCAAGCTGCCCAGCATCTTGAGCAAATATATCACTTATGTGTAACTTAAACAGAGATTTGTGAAAAGGGATCACAATAGTCTCCTTTGACGGATGGTACTGTTTTATTCCTTAATCATGGTTGCAAACATTTCTCTTTTGCTCTGACTATATCAGGCAGAAGAAAAAGAATAATAGAGCATGAAAGGACCCTAAGAGCTCCACATCCAACATTTTGTAACCATTTATTTCTTGAACAATAATGGTACTGTAGCATTCTTCATTAGTGAATAATGAAATGCCTCATAAAAGGTGGCCATTATTATCACCTGTAACTGGTGGGGACATTTGAGGAGCTTGCTTCTCTGGCTGGATTGGAGACAAAGATGGTATTTGAGATGGTATTAACATAGTGCATGTATGGAAAACACTGGATAACTCCATAGCTTACCAGATGGACACTAGAAGATGCTGTAATATAAGTTCCTCAGCAGTAACTTATACCACAAGTTTCTCTAGCTCCCAAAGATCAGGTTAAAAGACTGCAAAGGTTTTTCAGAAACATTCTGAAAAGCATAGCAAGAATCCCAAGCATGTCCTAAAACCATGTATGACTACTTTTATTTTTAATCACCCCACTATACATTGTTTATAGTAATCCAAAATTCAAAACTCGCCACTGCACAGGGCACCATGGTAGTATTTAATCTGTTCTACGCTGAGTGGTATACTCTGTGCATATAAATTGCTCATAGGTGAATCTTTCCTTCATCAGCACATGTCTTCCTTTTTGTCCTCTGCTCAGCCAGCATCTGACAAAGTACTAGGAAGATCAGTGTAAACCCAGCAGGCACCTTCTGGGCATGCATGGGCAAAAAAATCTGAACAAATTACATTCCAAGAAATGAAAAAGGGATATAGGCTCTTCTGTCATCCTAAACCAGTAACGCTATTACTTGCAGTAACTGGATTCTCTATGTGCAAAGAATGTTCCTGCCACCTTCAGCAGCTCAAATAAAAGCTCTGCTTTTCCAATAGAGAGCCAAAGCTACCTCCATACAGACCAACAAAGCTAGTGCTGCCTGGAAATTATGCTATGTCCTGTTACAAAGGGCAAGAGCTGTTGCACTTCCAAATGTACATTCGTAGCAAACAGATTCTGCTGGAATCAATCATTTGCAATCATTTGCACTTTATTCCTAAAGTCAGTGCAGGAGGCAGTCTTGACCAAAGCATTTGTATGGCATCTTAAGAGAGATTATTTCCTTGTGACAACACAAAGCAAAGCAATTAAATTTGTCACAAAAATAGACTCGAAATCTCACTAGTCAGCAGCAGCACGCAGACTGAGAACATAAAACATGATAGAGATGGCTCTTCAAGTGTTCATTTTTGTCACACATGCCTTTTTGACATTCAAAGTACAGAGAAAGGGAACTGCCAGAACAGAAGGAATGAATTATGCAAACAAAGTTCTGGGGGAAAAAAGCCCAAACAAAAAAAAACCCAGGAGGAAAAGACAGAAGGATGTTAAACCATCTGACCAGTTATGTCTCTTAGGGAAAAGAGAGAAAGAAATAAAAGAAGAGATTTTTAACTCTTTATATAGGCTACCATAACTTGTATAATAAGATTCATATCTAGTACAGATAGATATACATAACAATTTGATGTCAAAATTTGGGAGAAAGCCACTCAGATTTTATATCCTATTTTTCAATGGATAACTGTTCAAAAGTTTTGAGAAGTCACACACAGATAAATAACTTCTGTTTACTTTTTATAAAATCAACTTAAAACAATATAGAAGTGGGGTTTTCACTGACATTTACTGCTAGAAGTACAGTTTTATTCACTCATGTTCTCCAGGCAATTGCAGTGTACATGTGATGCCTCTTAAAGAGCAAGCCTTCCAGACTGGTTTGAAAAGAACTTTTTTTTTTTTCTGATTAGAAGCCTAAAAGATCACAGATAAAGCCTCAAAAGATAACTTTACCTTATGTTTAATTCCAGTCAGCATTGTCTCTTGCATGATTTATCACAGATAACTGTTCAAAAATTCCCTCTTAAAAGTGATTTCCATCTAAGTAATTTAAGTTTAATTCTTTTTGTTTGATTCTCTGTCCAATACTGAGTATTTTCATATCTCATAAGGTAAGAATGGATATCCATTATCACATCTTTTTACATGTGCCCAGATCATTTGTACATATACAAAGTTTCACCACATTTCTTCCACATGACCCTTCATAAAAGACATTACTTTGCTCAGTAAATGAACCTGTCCTCCTCCTTTCAGGTTTAATCTCATCTCTGAATGCACTTACACTGTAATTTCAACAGTAAACTGTTGGGTATGAAGGCTAGTAAGGATTATTCATATATAAAATGAGTTGTATTCCTTTTTTTTTTTGCTAACAAATAATCCTATATATAATCAGTCAGTGTAATTATGTAGATAAAAGTTACAGTAATAAGGAAGACAATCAGTTTCTTTATTTTATTTTTTTCATCCATTTTTTACTCTTTTCTGTTTAGTCCATGTCCATGTCCATATATATGGTCCACATATTAATTATCTCCTGTTGTGTTACTATCTTGCCTCAAAGTTGAGACATCATTCTGACTATTATGATACAAATGCAGAATAGTAATGGTAACAGGGAAAAAAATTGTCACCTGAAATTTAACTCACCAAGCATAGTAGGGTAGATATCCACAAGCGATACTACATTTGGTATTTGGTGCTGTTCTCTTAAACCTGGCCCCATAACTAAAAGAGGAACATGGGAACTTCCCTCATACATGCTCATTTTATAGAACTGACGGTGTTCCATAGCAAGTTCTCCATGATCTGCAGTGAATATAACGATTGTTTTTCCAAGAAGCCCAGTATTTTGCAGAGCTGAAATAATCTCACCTGCAACAACAAAAAGATACTAAAAAGAGTGCATTCAAAATATTTCTTCCAAGATCTGTACTTGCAAAGCTTCATGCAAATTTCAAGGAACCCTCCTAGTTCAGTGGAGGAAAGTTCTCTTTTGTTTCACATACATTTGTGCAATGAAAACACAACATATACTCCTATACTTTTATATGTACGTTTGTGCAACAAAGACAGGACCAAGATCAATTAAGCTGGTAGTTAAGCAAACCACTTAGGCATCTTAAATATTAAAACTTTAGGATGATTCATGCCTAAACCTACTAGTTTAAAAATGTTATAAAATTACAACTGCAGTGCAGTTACTTTGAAATCCCTTATTTCCTAGATCTGTAAGGCTTCCATTGGTCTCTTTTAATTCATAAAATGAGGAGGAGCAATTCTGTGTCTTTTAATTCACTTTACAAATCTATTATGCTGTCCTAGTTTAGGCCATATGCCTAAAAGATTAGTTTATTTGATAATGAATTTCATACTAGTATGCAAACAAATTCTTCTTCATTCATGTTCACTTTTCAAATCAAAAAATAAAATGCTGTAAATTAAGACCAACTTGTATTATAAATTATTTAGCTGTAGACATTCCTGCAAACTGAAAAATTTTGAATGTACAATTAATTATTTCTTCATAACTTTCAATAATATGCTTCTAAGGGACACTCCAAATGTAACCTTATTCTTCAGTCAATGTGTAACAGCCGTTATGCAGTTTACACATTTGAAATCAGCCTCTAAGGAAAACTACTTATACCCTAAAATGTACCTTTCTTCCAGCTCAGCTTTTACAGTCTGTCCCCTACACAAAAATATCTCCATTATTTCAGTTAGCACTTAATCAAAGAGACTTAAGTTCCTCGTGTACATGGGTGTCCTGGGTACAGAGGAAAAGAAGGGTGGAGTTTCCAGCACTATTTAATAACATACTACCTATGTCATGGAGGGAGTATATTTTTCAGCATGAGATCCTGAGGTCTGCTGAAGTTGATTCAGTTTTATCTCGATGGTGGAAAGGTGTGAACTGTTCCATTAACTGTTGCTGAAGTCAAGGGAGGCTGTTAACTGTTTCTAGAACCCTGACAAGCTGTAACTATTCCTGGAGCAGCAGGAAGATGAGACAAGCTGCTGCCACCACCACAGCTGCTACTGCTTCTGCCACTGCTGCCACTGTCAGGGCCAGCCCTTTCAGCAGCTGGACCTTTTATTTGGATTAATTAGCTCTCCAGGCTTAATTTTGTCCCTGTTTCCCATTGTTTCCAGGCTGGAGGAAGGATAATAAACTGCAGAAACTTTTTTGCCTCATTGCTTTTGTTTTTCTGAGCTGCATGGTCCAGTGTGGAGGGGATGGAGATGACAGGTGCCATCTTGCCTTTGTCTGGGAAAACCCCACTAGGTACTCTCTTTCGGGGTGTGTTTGCTTTTTTGTTGGTGAACACCCTTCCTGTGGGTAGATCACTCTCCCTTTGTGTCATCTTTTATCTATATTGTTATGTTTATTGCAAGTTTCTCAGTAAAATTGATGTTCCCACTTCTGGTCTCTCCTAGTACTTCCTGTGCTGTCAAAAGGGGATGGAGGAGGAGGGGCAGCTTCCATGGGGTAATTTTCCCATTGCATTTTAAACCATTGCAATGGGTAATGCCATAATTTGCTGCAGTCCCTGGTTTTCTACAGAGCTTCTGACTGCTGGCTGTGATTACTTTTCAGAGTCTCTCAATTCACCTAAAAGGCTATCCTGTCATTTATCACATAGATTGAAAAAGCAACTTCCACAGCTTACTCTCAGATGTGAATTGTGGTGGTTTGTTTTCTATCTTTTTCCCCAAAAGATCAGCCCTAGCAGCACTTTCTTTTAAAAAAATCAGAACTAGAAAACCCACTGTGTAGTAAGACATTACCTACCCAGCATGGCATCTGTCTCTGCACACATAGCATAATAAAATGCTCTAATATTTCTCACTTCTTCCATTGTAAACTCTCCAGTGCAATTCTTCGTGTACGATGAGTAATAATCTACTGGATGCATCTCTGAAAGAGAAGACCACTTGGGTATTTTAATAGCTTCATAATTTACCTAAAAAAATAAGAGGAAATTATCATTACTTTAGCAACTGAATTAATCGAGTGTTTTAACAGAGATTTAATTTAAGAAATTATAGCATAAATTCACAGTTCTCCATTTATGACCCGGGAAACACTAGCTGCTTATTTGTTACACCATGCAGCTCCCTCCTCCCTATGTCCCCACAGTTTCCAAAAGTAAAGTGTTTTTTAAAAACTTTTGAAAATCAACAAGAAACTAAGTCTTGGAGCCACAAATATGTGCTTCACCAACTGCTGTATATTTTTAAGAGAGGTATCACAGAACACTCTTCTGAAGTAGTGAAGTAGTCTTCATAAAGTAGGTACAGAATATTGGCATAGAGTCTTCATAACTGTAGAGTAACTGAAAAATTTTGAATTTTTCATGGATCTAAAAGATTGGGTGCTATGTGGGACTAGAGATCATGGAAAACCATGTAGTCTGGGAAAGCCTCCAAGACAGTGATGACAAATCTTAGCATTTTGATAAAATTAATTGACTACATTAATCCAATTTTCTAATACTTTCTACATGTTTCTACATATGCCAATTCATTTAGCTATAAAGAAATGGAAGATCAGTATGAAACCAAAAAGCCAATCTATTTGTATATTCAAACTATGCATAGTCACAGATATTGTCTGCTTCAGTACTAGCTTTAGAGTCTTGAAATTTGACATACACATTTAGCCTTGGCTGTTATACTTGCAAATATTCCCTTAAATAAAAAGGAACTTGAGGCAATTAAATAAATAAATAAAAGGGAACTTGAGGCAATTTCCTCTTGTACTTCCACTTGTTACTTGGAGGAAAAGTCTGATAAAACAAGTTGATAAAACTACAAGGGTTCCAAGTGCCCATAGAAGTAACACCTGGCTTTGTAATAGTCAAATAGACACAAAAAATGTAGGTTTCCTCAGGATCTATAGAAAACGCACTACTAGAAAAAAAATCACAAAGATAAAATAATAATGCTTCAGTCATTTTCTTATTGCACAAAGTTCTTAGCTACATTTTGGAGTTATATTTTGGACTTTGCAAATGGTATTGATTAGCTGTTTAAGGTAAGAGAGCAAAAAGTGTCCTCCATCCGTGATTCTTTTCTACAGGACTTCAGCCTAGTTTTAAGTATTCATAAAGCCACAATCCCTTTTCTGCTTATGGTAATGTCCTGGGTAACCCAAAATGTTACTGCATTCCATATCTATCTGTGCTGTAAGATTGCTACTGTGTTGTAGAGTTGTGTTTGCACTGTATATCCCCTCATGGTGTGTCCCTCCATATCCCCTCTTTGTATCTGTTTGGTTCATCCCAGCTTTCCCATCAGTACCTGCATGTCCATCAAACCCCAACCCATCCCCCTGTCTCCCCTCAGGTGATGTGTCCATCACCTGGTGACCCTTCCCCTTTGTCCAGACCCTTCTAGCAGGGTCACCAGGTACCTGGACCCTGGCTGGGACTCCTCCCCCACCCCCTCCTCAGTGGTCACTCTGAGGCCTTGCCCCCAGAGAGCCACTCCCAAGTCCTTCCCCCTTTGGCTGCTTGGGTTTCCTCACCCCCTATATCTGGCTGCGCTGGGCGGGGACACTCTCTCTTTTGCTCTGGATGTCCTTCGAGGTCAGATGTGGCCTGGGATCTCTCCAGGCCCTCATTAAACTTTGGAACTAATCCTAAGGGAGAGCGCCTCTTTCCTTTGTTTGTGGGATTAGCTCGTCTTTGGACTCACGTGGGAGCTTCTCCAAGCCCCCTGGGATTCAAGGAGAAGCTTCCTTCCCTCTGCCCGCCTCACCCCACTGCCCAGCTGGCCGGGCTCCACAGGGGATCTGACCCATGGATTCGAGGGGGAGACGCAGCACTGTGTCTTTAAGACCTGAAGCATGACCGGAACCAGAATTGCAGGGCAGCCGGGAGATGCCAGTTGCTTTAAAGGTCAAGAAACCCAAGCTGACCCCCTCTTCTGCTGAAGGAAGAGACTCTGCTTCAAAGGGGGTTGATATGGTGAGTTTCTGGGCTTCCAACTGTAGCAACTCGGAAAAACTACATTTAGTAAACAGAAACTGTATTGCCAGTGATCTCTGCAAACTCTATAGGAAGCGAAGCTTCATTGACGTGTTAGGCCATCCCACGTCAGTGTCCAGAGACCAGTTTCCCCTGCTCCTTCTCCAGCACACCAGCAGATCAGAAGGCACGAGCACCAACACTGGTGGAATCCAGCCAGTGCAAGAGGAAGTAGCAAACAGCTGTGCTGATCCCACATGTGCCAGAACTTCCTATCTGTCACTAGACTTTCGTAAGCTCCAACCTTCCCAGGAGGGCTTGCTACCATCCGTTCCCTTTGTTTCTTGGAGTGAATGGTTACCCATTGCAGGTGCCACCTTGGAAAGTGCCTGACAACCACTTTCCCTTTGCCTCCTGCAGGCAGTCAGCAGTGGGAGGCTGTCATATTAGGCTGTCATATTAGGAGACATCACGCAGTTTAGGGTGTCTTTGTTCCCATGGAGCTCCTGCGATTCAGCAAGTTCATATCTAGTGATTATTCATTGCTATTTTTTGCACGTTGCTGTTTCACTTGTCAGTAAACTTATTTTTTCACTTACATCTATTAGTATTGGTTCCTTATTGGTGGGAAGGGATTGGTTGAAATTAAGGGGAGGAACTCATTTTAGAATGTCTACCTCTGAATCGTCTTAAACCAAGACACATAATTCATAACTAGGAAAGAAGTCCTACATCCCCTGGAAAATTGACAGCTTGTGCAAAATACAGGGGACCATCTGCTTAACAACACAGTGTTTCACAAACATACTGTGTTGACACTCTTTCCCATATTACAGCCCAAATAAACAGGACATTTAATTCAGTTCTTCATCAGTGTCATCAAACTTCTTCATGAGATTACCTCTATGATTTTAAAAGACTACTTCTTCCATGACTAAAAAAGAGCTACATCGCAGAACAACCAGCCAATGGTCAGTAAATGGCAATATGTGGCCCACACAATGCAGTATGTATACACAGTGGTGGGAAGGAGTCCAGCAAACTGTGCAGTTAAGGTATTCTGACTGAATAAAAGATGACAAACATTTGTCAAAGATGTTGTGACTGTGACTCAAAAACTGTCTGTGACTCAAAAAAAAGTACCTATACTTCCCAAGATATATCTAACCAGCACCCAGCAAGCTTTTCTTAATAAAGCTAGAACTTTTTGTAATTGAAAGGGTTTTCTTCCAAAGTTCTTCCTCTCCCCACAAACTTCTCACCATTCCCAGAAGAACCCACAACCCTCACTATTACGAAAAAATTCACATCTCTCAACTTTCATTTGTAAATCTGGTTTTTCTAAGTATTTGTATTTTTGGTACACCTAGATAAAGAAGTTTAGCAGTTCTGTCATGGAAAAGGCCACAAATTACATAAATTGCATATGGAGGGGTTTTTTGAAGCATAAAGTCTTATCAACCTAATTCTAATTTTTCAACTGCAGAGAATAGTAATGCCTTTCTGCAATTAAATCTATGTTTATATTTTATGGCAGATAATGGCAACTGGAAACTATACAAGACAGAAAAGAAAGTATTTCTTCTTTGGAATGGAGTGCAATTTCTTAATTTTGCACATACAGACATAAGGACACTTTCTTGTGCTTCAAAACCTACAGTAGCACAGAAAAAGTTAACAGAAAAGGAAGACTTCCGTTGTGTCATATGTTGTTTTATGTTCTAGGTCCATACTGCAGAAAAAGTCAATCTTTCATGTAAAACTCAGACAAAATCATTACACATAGCAGCATTTCTAATAAGCAAAATACAGAATGTTCATAATAATGAACTTCAGACCACTACCTAAATTAATTTACAACTAAGAATAGCAACAATCCCATTTTTTAATGTGTTTCTAGCCATTGAACTCCATACTTACTTATTGATTCAATGACTACTGCTAATAAACCTTTTCCCACAACAGCCAAATTTGTCACTTCTATTTTCTTAGCCTTTAATCAGAAATCTAACATCTCATTCAAGTACTTTTTACTGCATAGTGAAATATCAAAATTGGGTCTATCTTGAAAAACCAGTTAAAATACTTTTTGTAATAAGTACAGTTATTAATAAATTAATATTCAAATTTTTATCCACATACCTTTTCAAGCCAATAGGGAGTTGTTAAAAATGTAGAGGATCCAAAATTTTCTCCTGCATAGGGTGATGGATATGGGTGTGGTAAATTTAGTCCCAAGTAAAGAATAAATGGTTGAGTAAAGTTAACAGCTTCTTCCTTTATCCAGTTTACAGCTTTATCAGTATTCTGCCAATCTGTTTCCATTACTCTAATCTGCTTCCTATGGCCTGTAACCTTCACCATGGGTCTTCCTTCTTGTCGGAGCAGGAAGTTAACATCCCTAGTCCAAGCTTCCACACGGTTACTGAAAATACATACACAAGTCACATACTCAACAGAAAATGTTTTCTTCACTTTTTCTCCAAGCAAAAAGTATTATGAATTCCTGAAGAATTCAGTTACAATCTACTTCCAATTCCTGCATAAAGAAGAATTGTTATTCAATTGAGCAATAATGATTGTGCATCTATTTTATACGAAGACCTTTAGGCTTTTTATGTTTGCTTCTGAATCTTCTTTCTTATTTATTATCCATTTATGTCAGAATGGCTCTTCTCACATCTACAAAATAATACTTAGAAATACCACTCTATCTTGTAGACCCTTCTCCACGTTTTGGCACAGATTGACACACTATTTATGTGTAAACTGGGCCTGAGATTTTTATGTAAAAGAGTCTAATGGAAAATAACTTCACTGGTGAGGCTGCCTTTAGAAAAAACATTCTGGATGAGGCTTGTAGTATTAATTAAATACACTTTAGACAAAAATCTGTAAGAATGATTTCTCTTGTATAAATCCTATCAAACAAATAACAGGAAAGAGTATAAAGAAAGCAAGAAGGAGGGAAAACCAGCAAAATTTTAAAGACAAAATATTTTTTAACAGATTTTCCAATGTCATGGCAATTGTTGTCTTTCTAAAAGACTATAAAAAACATCTGAGCTGCAAATATCCTTGTTTCTTTGCAAGAGTGAATGATGGTGGACATTGGTAAGAGGCAGACTATCTAAGACTTTGACTCATCTTCATTTTGTTCATGGCAATTTCAATATAACCAACCAAATTACAAAAGAAAGTATAAAGCTGCTCAAAGTTTGATCACATTCTTTTATCAAAACACAACATTATTAGTTTTTAAAGAGCATCTAACCAGTTTTATCCCCAAAGGAATTTTGCCAGTGCACTTTAACTTCCAGAAAAGCTATTCGGAATTATCTGTAACAATTCTTTTTATTGTTTTAACTCCTTGTTTAGGCTCACACTTTCAACCTAAACAGGCTTAAATAAATTCCTTAGAACAAATTAAGGTATCTGAGAAAGCATGTTTCATAAACATTAAAATGAAATTACGATAAAGGAGTATGTGTGGGGGTGTGTCTAATTGCACGTAATGTCATAATACTGATTTATACAGAAAAAAAATACTATGTAGGCCATAGGCCAGTCTGATTATCCAGTCAGACTGAGATTAAGATCAAGTTCAAAGAACAAAATCCCCTCTTAACTAAGAAGGAAGCAATAAGCAACTCTAACCTGTTTAATATTAAAGAAAATATTATTATTATTTCAACAAGGAACATCATTATTAATCAGTGAGATGGAGCATGTTCATAAAAACAGCACAAAATGAAGATTCCCCTACAGCCCATGGAGAAGATGGTGAGGAAGGCTGTCCCTCTGCAGTCCATGGAACAGATATCCACTTGCAGCCTGGAGTACCCCACACCAAAGCAAATGGATATCCAAAGAAGGCTGTGATCCTGTGGAAAGCCTGCACTGGACTTCCAGCAAGACCTGCGGACCTGCAGAGAAATGAATCCATGCTGGAGCAGGTTTACTGGCAGGACTTGTGACCCCGTGGGGGGACCCACACTGGAGCAGTTTGTTCCTGCAAACAGGAGGACATCCCATGGAAGGAACCCATGCTGGAGCACTTTGTAAAAAACATCAGCCCATGGGAAGGACTCACTTTGGAGAAATCAGTGAGGGACTGTCCTTTCAGTGGGGGAGGGACACCATACTGAAGCAGAAGGTAAGGAGTTCTCCCCATGATGAGGAATGAGTGGCAGAGACAATGTGTGATGAACTGACCACAGTCCCTATCCCCAAACCTCTGTGAGTAGAGAATTTGGAAGATAAGCCTGGGTAGAAGGCTGGTGGAAAAGTATTTCAAGATTTGGGTTTAGTTCTCATTGCATTACTCTGGCTTCTAATTGGCAATAAACTAAATTAATTTTCCTAAGTTAAGTCTGCTTTGCTGTGTACCTGAGTGATCTCTCTCAGTCCTTATCTTCACCATTGAGTCATTGTTTTGTCTCCTTCCTGCCCACTGGAGGAGGCAGAGTCATAGAACAGTTTGTTCTATCATGATGGCTCTGGTATGTCCATCCAGGGTCAACCCACCACAAAAGCACACGTCTTTGAACACTTATGGCCTTCAAAAAGACCCCTCAAAACCTCTGAAATTTTGTGACAGTAGGCTTAATATTTTGTTATTATAATTATGGGGTTTTGTTCTGGTTTTCCAACACTGTTAGTATTAACAGGAAGTCAGGAAGTCTTAAGGCAATGCAAAAGCAGTTTATGAATTTCACTTAGGGAGTAATAATACTAGTGGAAGAAAATTACCATGTTGGGCAAAACCAGTTTCTGTATTACCTTTCAACTACAGGTAAAAGCCAAAGTACAGCTGCAAGAGATATACTTGCTTCTCCATAAAGTTGCAGGACATATCTCTGCTAGGTACCTAACACAATTTCTTTTAAAGCTACTATCATTTCAACTGGAGACCAAAACCATGTGACAGCTCCCTACGTGATATGTTCACTGCTGCCCATTTCACAGCAGGAAAATCTACCTGATTACCTTACTGAATGATGTCCAGAAGTAAAGTCCAATTTCCCAAACTTCTGTGTATGGTAGCCATGCTTCTCCATGAGATCCATCCATGTTACATAACCTGGATCTAGACCTTTGAAGTTATTCCAAGATTCTGTTATATGAGTGAAAAGACCACTCCACATAGCTGGGAAAAAAAAATGATGAGTGATTAGTATTCCCACCTGTAAGGTTGAGAAGGGATTAATCTTCTCATTATTACCGAGGTAAAAAGTCCAAACTGTGATACAAAGAACAAGGAATACAAAGTATCACTCTTCCAAATCTTATTTCATCATCAATACAAGTATCAAAATTTACTCAAATAATCCCCAGAACTGCAGAAGAAGGTCCTATCTTTCCAGGTGCTATGCAATCATTAAATCAAGTTTTAATTAGATCAGAAAATATTCTTGATTTCTGAAAGAAAATGGCATGGAAGTACAGATCCTGATGAAACAATCCTGTATTTACGTGTGTTTCAGAGTATTAGTTACACTTACTACAGTTGATTTAATGTGAGTCTAAAGTTAAGTATATTCGTGGACAGAATTACAATATAGTATTTCAATAAATACAAATGCCCTCAATTTTATTCTTTATAAGTAATCTACTTCACTATGAGTTGCAGAAACAAAGTGAGAATATTAAAGAAGATATCAAGAAGAAAGGAAACCAAAGCAAGAGTTGCAAAGGAACTATAAGGGAAGATTTTTTAAGTGAGTTCCTATTTCTTAGCAGTTTATCAAGAATCATTCACTCTTTCCTATGCTAATTAAAAGTAAAAGGTAGTCCCAAAACAGAGCTAAGTCATTACACAAGCAATAGAAATATCCTGTAAGCAAAGCGCATCAACCCCACATGGCAATACTGGTCCCTTCCCCACCCCAAAGCCATCTTTCCTGCTATCCCTTCTTGTATCATCCCTGACACCGCCACAATAGATGCACCCTCAGTTCACTGCAGGTATCCAAGCTCCTGGCTAAGCAAAAGATGTCCTGCTGGTTCAGAGCCCCATGTATGAGCTCAGTAGTCACAGCTACTCAGTTAATACTACACATGAATCATTTAGTTCATTATGCATTTTCTTTCTCACAAGAGTACTAACCTGCCATTTTCAAAAACTTATTTAAATTAAATAACATAAAATCATTGTTCTTAGCAATAAAAATTGGCTGAAAGACTCAAGCATCAAGAAAAGAAAAGGAAGGCCAACTGCTTGTTCATGTAATGTCACCCACTTAAAATGTGACCATGAGAAAAAGAAACAGGGACTAGGTAATCAATAAAGGTAATACTAAAAAGGTAACACTATATTTGGCTGCCTTTGACTGCTGCTTCTTTCAGTGTATGCTTTGAGGAGAAGAGGGATCTTTTTATAGCTACAGATTAAGGAGGGTCTTTGCATCAACTGAAAGACAGAAATGTTTAAAATGTAATCTTTGACTGAGGAATATAGTTTCCTTCTATCTTCCTAGCAAATTACACTAAGTAAAGAAAAGCATGCAAGTATTCAATTAAAGCTAAATAAAGATGCATCATGTATCTAGAAGACAGGGCAACTGCTACCACTTTATTCAGCTATTATTATTTATTACTCTTTGCTGAATACAGGAAAGATATTTAATGACTGTATTGGGAAGAGAGAGTAGTTCTAAATGTAGTTTCAGTACTGCACCAGAACAAATTGATGATTTCTCTATAAATCCTGAAGATTTTTTAAAAATCTGAAGCTTCAGTGGAGTTTGTAAAAAGACTGGGCACCTTACACTTAACTGAAACAAGGACAAGAAAAAAATAAAGGAGGAAACATAAAGAACAGAAGAGATAAACACATGAGAGAAGAATACCCCAAGAATTCAAACACAAACTAAAAAAAAAAAAGGATCTTATTGAAAAACAAAACAAATCTCTCCCCATTAAAAAATTTCAAATTTCCCATCATTACCACATATTTAAATTGATATGTGTAAGCATTTATCATATGTTTTGCTTGGTTCTACCTGCGCGGGAAGGACAACAAATTGGAGAGTTGGTGTAGGCATTGAGAAAGACAGTGCCATGTCTTTTCATAAAATTTATGGAAGGTAAATCCACAGTCTGATTCCCTGGCAAAAACGTCAAGCGTCCATCCTGCAATGAAATAAAAGCAACACATAAACAGCATTCATGCAAACTATCAGCTGCATTAATTAATATATTTGTTACCGTGGACTGGTGTTGCTCAAATGCTGCCAATTCTACACAGGTATGGAAAACAGTGTTGAGAAAATCTAAGCAGAACAATATAAAATTGATCACTTTTGAAAATGGAAAAGATAACTGGGCTTCTTTGTAGCAAAATTAATTCCACTGTATCATTATACATATTCCAAGCTCCAGTTCTTCAGGGGTGGGGTCCTACCATGACACATTCAATGGGAATAGGTACAGTGAAACGTAACAAGGAGTTAGACTGAATCCCAATGTAGATGTGTGCACTAGCACATATTTCTGTGAAATCATCATTGATTCCTCATCCTTTTTAAAGGTTTATCCATACCACTTCTCTGTGAACTTATTTGAAACTATGGACTGGAAAAGGGATCAGAAAGCTAAAGAAAGGCTATTTTCCCACAGAAAACCCACCCACAGTGGTTCCCTTTTGATACTTCCATAATGCTAATTTTGATGCTTTCATAATGCTTATTTCATGTTAATAACCTATTTGTTTAGATGGATTTTTCAATCAGTAACTTAAAATTATTAAAGTTTGAATAGGTAATTTTAGAGTAAAAGATTATCATCACATGAAACCAGGTTTCATGCAGAGTGCTATTATTTCATGTCATTGTGTTTTATCTGTTGCTTTTATTCCTTTCCTTGGTTGAATAAGATATGCCAATACAGCCCCAGCCTCACTGGCTCTTCAGTGAACAGATACGTGACAGTCCATCTGTAGTTTTAATTGCAGAAAAAAGTAATTCCCAGCATTCGGTTTCCGGCAGAAATACTCTTGGATAACCCAGTATTGTAAAGAGTCACTTAATTTGGCACCAGTAGAGCTAAACGTAGCATCCTAGCCCCTGAACACAGCTCATATCAGAACATGCTAAATGAGCAATCACCTAATCTTGTATACTACTACAAATGGCATCTTGAATAAGCACTCAGTAGGACAAACTGGAAATACAGCTGTAGTATACAATAAGAACTTGAACAAAACTTTGGGCTGAAAGTGCTCTTTAGAAAGCTGTCCTGGCTGAAACCAGCCAGGAAAAGGTTCACTTTTGCAGTAGCCAGAAGGGGACATGGCTAAGACATGGAGGTTATTCTGTACCAGCTCATGTCATTTTCCAGAACAGGGGAAGGGGTTCCTTCCAGGTAAGAGTTGTGTGGCAGCCAACGGGTACTGCTGTCGAGCTCTGCATAGTATAGTGGTGAGCATTTGAATGTGAACTGCTCACCTCTCTCATATATTTTTCTATTAACATTATTGCTGTTACTGTTCTAGTAAACTGTTATAGCTCTGCTGTTTCTAGTAAATCATTCTCACCCCAATCCGTGACCTTTTTCTTTTGTGTCTGCAATTTTCTGCTCCAGCCTGCCACAGAGGAATAGGAGGGGGACAGAGAAGCAAGCAAGTGGCACATGGTTTGGAGCAATTTCAGTGGGAACACTAAATTGGAGAATACTAAACCATTACAAAAGTACATAACTGCTGGGCAGTCTTGTCAACAACACATTCTTAACTTTCTCCAACAAAGTCGTGTTTGAACAGCTGGAGACAAGAGTGCCTTATATTGATACTGTGATACCATATTCAGTGACCCAGCAGTAAAATAACTCCATATTCTTGGTGTCACAGTATGCTTGGTACTGTGACATGAATATTGTTTCTATAGATGACAGGGTATTCAGTCAAAGTAGTAAGCATCTTGAATTGGCTGCGAAGGTGGAAGCTCAACAGCTATTTCTGGAAATACATCCCCAAGAACTGTGTAGGATTTCTAGGTTTTAAAATACCTAAGGAAATAAAAAGCCCAGACCTTTTAACAGCCTGGAGGACTTCAGCTTTTTTTCCAGAAAAGCTGTTTGTTTCAACAGTACCCTACCCTTCTTGTTCTCTGCTAGCGATGTAATCAAAATGTTTCAAGTTCTACCTTAAAATCCATCTCAGAAAAAAAGTTTACACGACACATTTCTTTTACTATACTCTTCTTTGTACGCACTGTGCAAAGATGATACTTTTCAAAAACAGCACCTTGTTATTAATTGTTTACCTAAGAATTCCAGAAACATTGTGGGTTTTGCCTTTCTCTTTTGTAAGGGTTACCTCATTAATCTCTGTAATATAGTTTACGAGAATCTTCCTGCTTAAAGGAGACATATAAAAGTTCACCTAATGTTTGTCTGCAACATCTGCTAGCATCTGGATATAAAACGGACATTGACTAGCCCTCAGGATCTTAAATACTGTAATTTTAACTATTGGTAAATAGACTTTTAGCAAAAGCTGAAAGTTTGGAGAAAAAAAACACGTATTATTTTAGAATATTAAGAGAGACTATTTACTGAAAATAAAATTAACAAAGAAGGAAGGAAATCAATAAGGAGCTATTACATAAATAAAGAAGGAACTATTTCTTTATCTTTGAAATCACAATGAATGTGTTTAAAGATAGGGTTTGAAAAAAAATAATACATGTTTACCAAATATTAATATAATATAATGTTTAATTTTAGGAAAAATTCATCCTAAGAAAAACAGCCAGCAGGCAAGAAGCCAACTGCTTTTATCTGTGCAGTCAAAGATGGAAACCCAAGAAGGCTAGGGATCAAACTTCCTCAATAGTGAAAGAAAAGTGATGAAACGTGAAAGCACCTGGAGCTTAACACCACGGAGCTTATGTTTGATTCCACAAGGAGTGTTAGACGAGTTAGAGAAACCAAGGCTCCTCAGAGTAAAACACATCAAAGCATGTCCAGTGTGCTGGTGGGCACAGTGAGAAAACTGTGAAGATACACGCAAGGATTAGTATTTGTGAGTGGAAAACTTTGTGTCTGAAGGGTAAACCAAATACATTAATAAATCACTGTAATAAAGCCGCTAGATGCCTACCGCTATAGATATACGTCTGACCAGTTTACTGTGTTGTTATACCTTTTAAGAGCCTCAATAAACCAGTATTTGGTGCTCAGTAAGTCAGTAATTTCATCTGTGATTCTAGAAATTCGCTATCCCATTTGTTGTGGAGAGTAACAGCGTTTAGTGACCTTGCTTGCCATTAGGCTTTTCAAGCGAACCGAAGAGTAATTCGCTTTACACACCAGCCCCGTTCCAGTGGCGGCTGCCCTGCCACCGAGTCCTGCTGGCACGCCCCGCTCCGGGGCCACAAGCTGTATCACACCAGGCGGTGGGAGCCACCTGCGCAGAGGTTTTCGGCTGCTGTGAAGGCTGTGATGCGAGCACGGCGCAGCCTTTCGGGAAGGGGCTGCGTTAGGTTTGGGGCACTGGTGCGACACTCGAGCCCTCAGCGCCCCGCCACACGGTCGCGCCTCCCGCGCAGCGAGCTCCCGCCTGCGCATGCGCAGCCTCTGGCGGCCTCATCCTCGGCCGTTCCATCCCGGCCACCGCCGAGGGTATTCTCCCACCCCGAACCCTTACCTGTGAGGGCGCCCTTCCGCGCCCCGATCACTCACCAAAGAGTCGCAGGCCACCAACACCACGTTAGATCGGGGCTGGTGCCCGGGGGCAGCGGGCCGCGGCCTTGCTCCCGCCCCGGAGGCCGTGAGGAGTAGCGCCAGACCGGCTAGCCCCAGCGGCCCGCCGTCGTGCATCGCCCTGGCCTCCAGCTCTCTAACCGAGAGCAGTGGCAGCTCCGAAAGCAGATTCCGTGTCTCTGGCCACAGCGTAAGAATTGAGGCTAGCCGCTGACTGCGGCCTACAACTCCCACAGTGCCCAGGGCGGCGGCCTGTAACTCCCAGCATGCCCCGGGAGCAGGAAGTGCATCTCCTGCAGTGCCCCAGGTCCCGGGACCCGGCCGGGAGCGGCGGCGGCTGGAGGTGCGGCGGGAGCGGGTGGCGACGCGCCGTGCCGTGCCGTGCCGTGCCGTGCCGTGCCGTGCCGTGCCGTGCCGTGCCGTGCCGTGCCGTGCCGCGCCGCGCCGCGCCGCGCCGCGCCGCGCCGCGCCGCGCCGCGCCGTACCGTGCCGGCCTGGCTCGGCCCGCCGCAGCTTTCCCTGCGGGCGTGGATTGTCTCCCCAGGCGGTTCGCGGCCCCATCCGCGGGTCCCCGACCCCACCCGCAGGCCGGGCTAGGTGGCCTCGCACTGCGGCTGCTGTCCAGGTTTGCGGCGAAGGGGTGTTTTGCCTGTAGGTGACTGTGCGGCTCATGCTGGACAGTGCCCGCGGTGAGGTGCGTTTGTGGTGACCGAAGCATCTGTTCCCTCGTAGGAAGCAAATTTATCTCCAGGAGCCGCTAAGCAATGCAAGTGCGACAGATTTCTTTATAAGTTCTGAGGAAATCTGAAATTCGATGTTATCCTATGTCCAACCATTCCTTTATTTTTGCTTTGCTGCTCCTAAAAAGTTATTTTGCTTTTCAGCTAGTTTTGCTTTTTTCATCTTTTTCAGTGCTGGTAGAAGCGGTGTTGTTTCTCAGTCTCATCCTATCTCGGCAGCTTTGACTCTGGTGTTTCTAAAGTTCATTTTGGTGTACAACATACACCAAAACAGGGCAAGATTGTGTTAAAAAGCGTGAATGCCTCTTTGCTGTGTTCCTAAATGCTTTTTTGATTCATGGCAGTTAGTCAGAAGCAGACTTTGCTGTAACTGTGTGAAGGGTGGGCCACATCAGGATGTGACAGATAGCCATGGTGCTGCTGTAGGAAGCACACAAGAAAAACCCTGATTCTTGCCAGCCACTGGAACACATTTCTCGGGTAATAGGGTTCTTAAGCACTGCTAAAGCACTTAAGCAGCATTCACTGCGTAGTTTGTTTTTAAACAGGAGCTGCTATGTGTAGCGTGTTGTCTCCTAAGTCTAACTACAGGCTCTTAAAACACCTCTTCATTAAATTTATCTTAATCTGTAAAAAAAGTTTCATTCTTGGATAGCTACTTTGTATCTCTTTGGAACTGTACTTTGTAACTCTTTGGAATAATGATGGAATCCTGCACTGGAGCTAAATGTGAGTCGTTTTAACCATGCCATCTTTTTAATCAGTTTCTGGTGCTGTATGCATTTTGGCATACTGCACTATATTTCTCTGTTTTAAATAACCTCTGTGCTATAAAGGTATAACCATTTTGTATGTGTCAGAATATCTGTTTTTACAAAAACTGATAATACTTTCTTTGTATTTAGCAGCCACAATGTCAAATAAGGAAGTGAAGGCAGCATTAAAGAATGCTAGAGACGCGATCAGAAATAAACAGTATAAGGAGGCCTTAAAACATTGCAAGGTAATTAATTTTATACTTGGAAGGTAAGTTTGGGGCTTTTTGCACATTTTGTTATTTTTCCCATACCTCTACAGCTATATAATAGTGCAGAGTGTAGAGTACCTTATTGAAGTGATAGTTGAGATGGATTTTCAGGTTTAACTTGATTGATTATTTGTGTTAGTTTCCCACATGTAAACTTTCATTCCCTTTCCTTTTGAATTTGCTTACGTGTGGCAATAAGAGTATTAAATCTAGAATGATAGAAATAAAAATCCACTTTTAATCCAGACCTCCTGGGGGTGCTTTAATTGCTGAGCTGCAGATGCAGGTTACTAGCTCAACACTTCAGGAATGAAGCATCCTCTTGCATAAGAAATTGAAGTTACTAATCTTAGCATCTTCCTTAAAATTACTTAACTTCTAATATTGCCATATAAAATAATCCACCAAACTGTAGTGATAAAACTCAGTACATGAATCCATGAGTTACATTTCTTTAATCAAATTTACTTAAAATTATGTACTTTAGGCAGTTTTGAAGCAAGAAAAAAACAACTACAATGCTTGGGTATTCATTGGCCTGGCAGCTGCTGAGTTAGAGCAGCCTGATCAGGCCAAAGGAGCATACAAGAAGGCTATTGAACTTGACCCAAACCAGTTACTGGCATGGCAGGTATGTGAATATCCACTTTTTGTTTCCCTCAGAAGTATCACTATGGAGTTAAATGCAGGAATAAAGCAGAGTTAAGAGTTATATCTTGTTTTCTTGAGGCCTTTAAGTTCCACAGAAGCTTTGGAGTAGATGAAGTTCCTGTTAGCTGTGTGTCCAATGTAAAATCATGGTGAAGTTTATTTTCAGTATATTTGAGTTTGTATTTCTTGTGTAGACTACACAGCTGAGACATGAAAGGGAGAACATGGATTGAAACAAATACATAAATAAATTTGTCCACATAAAAATTTCTGTGCTTGTAGCTCAAGAAGGACTTGACAGTTGTTCTCTTACAGAGAGAAAATGTTTTATCTAGTAATCTATTTTTCCAGCTTTCAGCATCAAGGGGATTGTTAATGAATGTTGTTGTTACTTGAAAGCAAAAGTGTGCATTTAAAAGAGCTGTGTGGTGTGTGCATTAAGAGCCTATTGCAATATAGATTTACAACTTCCAATTTTCGTATTGATTCATGAAACATAAGGTTTCATATTAAGTCTGTTGCTGATATCAACAATCAATGTTTTTCTAAGATAATAAGGATTTTTGTATTTTCAGTATAAATGCTATTTTAAAATATAACTCTTGGGGCCAGAATTCAGTGTAAGTTGTAATATCCTCACTTTTGCAATTGGATTCTGGCTTTCTTAATACAATACTGTGGAATATATATATATATATATATATATCATTATGTATTTTGCATACTGTATATACGAATATAGTTATAATGCCTAGTGAAGTTTTATAGTGTCTTTTGTGCAGACAAGATCAAGTAATAGATACAAGTTTCAAAGAATTGTTGGTATTAGTTAAGAAAGCGAAGAAAGCTTTTTACTTAATATAAGTAGATTGAGTGGGCTGTGCAGAATTCTGCACAGTGATTACTGCCTTAACACTTGACCCTGTTGAAGGCATTGGAATATTTTGTGTATACAGAACAGCTATCTTTCTCATAAAATGTAAGCATTGTCATCAAATCTTACTTCTTTTACTTCTTTTTGTTTGTATTTTTTTTCCCTTAAGGGATTAGCAAATTTGTATGAGAAATCCAACCAAACAGATGTCAAAGGAGACTTAGCAGATGTTTACCAAAAACTCTTGGAACTTTATGAAAGGTAAAGGATATCGAATGCCATACATTCAGTTACAAGATTTCCAGTTCAGTGAATGCCATTGGTGAGGTACAGTATAGACTTTGGGTTTTTAAAATCTTCTCACATCAGTCGTTTGGCCCTTTTGGTAAGGTTTTCTCTGCTTAGGTAAGTTTTCTTTTTCCTGTTCTTTTGGTAAAGCAAAAAACTCTCGTAGTTTACTTGTACTTGAGGCTAGTACTTTAGGTTATTCTGTGTTATCCTATTCCTGTCCAAACTCACAGCCTTGAAGCATTTATCTCTGATGGTTCATTGCCTGCATTAATAAGGCTTATTTTTCACTTCTTTAAGATCACAGAATGTGTCATGCAATTAGTAGAGGCACAGTTTTAAACAAATCTAACTTAGCTGTCACTATAGTTGACTGGAGTGTTTGGTTTTTCCCTTATTTTGAAAACTGATCAAGAAGTCCCTAAAAGCAATTTTTTTTTTTACTCAGAGCAGCAATGAGTAAAACTTATAGGGTGATTTTTAGTATATGTTCTGTATATTAGTTTGACAACTGAACTTACTGAAAATTATTTGTTAGAATTCGATAAACATTGCACTGTTATATGAAAAACTTATCTTGTTTTGGGGGAATTTTCTTCCTTTCTAGTGGTGACAAGCAGAAATGGTGTGATGTATGTAACAAGCTTGTGGAACTATACCATCAAGAAAAGAAATATTTGGAGGTAGGTCAAACACTTTCTTAATTCTAACAATTATTTTCTGTTTAATCTAACTACTTTTCATCAAGGAATCCCAACTCTTATGGGCCACAGACCACTTAAGATCTCCTTGTGGACTACAACTGGGAAGAACTGATTTTAACTGTATTTTGTCTTTTCCACTGGGTGAGACTTAGATGCAATCCATTAAACTGACAGAACTGGCAGAGACTATTAGTATTGAGACTGAAAGGGCAGAATATCATTCTTCTATTGTATTTCTAGAAGTCAAAAATGGTATCAAATGCACATTTATGTGCAGTATGTGTGAGTCAGGTGTTCTTTGCCTGTCTTGGCTGGTGCTACGTGATGAGGATCCTTTGGCTGGTGGGGTGATCCCTTCCTGGGATGTTACTTAAGCTTCATTTTAGAGGGTAAGGTGGGATATGTACACAACCTGAACTCGATTGCATATGTCGTATGTACTGCATTCCCAACACAATGATTAGGACATGAAAAGCCTCTTCAGAGCAGCACAAGCTTTGCAGAAATCATTGTGACTCTAGTCAGTACCACAAGGTGAAGTTGTTAAATGTCTTCTTGGTTCAACAGTAATGTTTCCTGCAAGCTCTATAATATTGCTACAGAATGTATATTTTGGAGGCATGCTGTTCACTTTGCTCTTTGAAAAGGCTATTTTCTTATATGGTGGTGCATGATTGTACTCCATGTCATCTTCCCACCTCTCCTCCAGCAATGGAGCATGAAAAATTTTACATAGTGCAGAGTGTGGGGCTGAAGGGCTATCAATTAGCTCCAAAGCCTCATTGTGCACCAGCTTCTTAAATTAAATTCAATGCTGATAGTTTAGCATATGAAGGCATACTTACTCTATATGGCAGAAGAAACTGAAGTTAGCCTTCAGGATCCTATTTTTTCTTTTCAGTTCTGTTGACTTTTTAATACTGGAATTTCAGTGTGGGCTGCTGCTTTTGTTCTCTTTCTGTTTGTAGTGCTCTAGACCTTTAGGTCTACTTTTACTGTTGATTTCCTTGAGGAACCAGTGTCAGAATTAATAAACTTTTAATGTTCTCTGACTGACTGTACCTTGGAAGGTAGAGAGTTCCACACAATCCTTTGGGAATTGCTATTTATTTAATCAGAAAGCAGGTAAATCTGGGTTACTGTAAATGTTACTCTGCTGTCTACCCTAGAGTGGTAGAGTTTGATACCAAAGGGTATCAAAGGGCACCCCCAAGGATGAGGGGTTCTACTGTGTCTGTGCACTTGTGGCAAAGAAATAGGATGGCAGGATCTCCTTTCTGAGCAAGGACAGAAGAAAGATAACGGGAGGACATCTGGCTTAGGAATGCAGCTGCTGCCTAAACAAGAGTATAAAAAGACTGAACCAAAGTCTTATGGTAATAAGCAATTATAATATGTATATG